GCACGCGAGCTTTTGCGCGAGTTAAGCAGCTTTGATATTTTAATATTAATAATTATGCTCGCGTTATATGAAAAGCCGGGCAAGACAGGCCGAGTTCTTGAAGGGGATGTATGATCATTGGAGCGCCCCTCTTTTTGCTAGAGCGTGTAACATGGAATATTAAGGATAGCGGCCCTAAAGGGAATATTCCGAATATTACCACGAGAAAGTTTTCGAAGAACACAGCGAGTTCGAAACGCGTTCTATGTGTTTCGCTGCGTAATTTTTGTTTTTTTTTTATCAGAAATAAAAAATGTTTTTATTAAATCTTTTCCTCTTGTTGAACTTTGCTGACGCGCTACACTAATAAAAAAAAAAAAAAAACAAAACAAAACAAAACAAAAAAAACAAAAAACTACAGAAAAAGCTCATTTAATTTAACCTAGAGTTTTTTTTCTGATTTGCGTAGTCTACCGAAAAGCGAAGCGTATTTTTTCCGCGTTGATTCCCCGATTGCACCCTCGAGAATTAAATTCCCTTTTAACATCCCGGCAATCTCTTTTCACGGCAATCGCGAGCGTTTAATTGGCTCAACGGACAGGCAGGTGGCTACATTAATTGCAGCGGATTGCCAAGCACGACGGGGCCCGGTCAGGTGGATGCCTAATCATCGTGGGGATTGTACAAGGGTAGGATTGCCTGGCGGAAAAGACGTCTTGCATTGAATGCTAAACAAAAGCTAATTTATATCCGCGCGTTGAGAAACTAACGCTCGAAGATCGAGAGATGAATGGCTGTTCATCTTGCATACCAAGTGGCATGCCCTTCAGGATTCGCGGAGTTAAAGATCTCTGGGGGAGAAGAAAGGGATGTTCGACCGTGGGGTGGCTACGCTTGTATCTTTCAAATATCACGTACGACAGAACGGCGCGGGAGTCTTAGGAGAATCCTCGTCAAAAGTCGCTCGATCACCGCCGCTTGATTTCTGATTCAAGCGGCGACGCATTTCACCCAGTCAGTTCGAGTGTCGTGAATGATTTTCACTCTGCAATATCTAACGATCGACTCTTCGCAGACGTCTCGTTCTCTCTTTCGAAAAGTAAACTCCAGAGAAATGATTTCAAATAAAATTAAAAGCGCGCGTTACGAGAGAGAAATAGAGAGAGAAAGATACTCTCAAATCAACTAGTCGTCTTAATTTAAAAGAGAATGCGAAAAAAAAAACAAATACAATTAACAAACGTCAAAGGGATAATTCGGCGAGTCGCTCTCGTGATTCGCGAGCTTAATCGCGTAGAGTCGGCGAGCGACTCTAAAAAAAAAGAAAAAAAACCGGATATTCCAGTCTTTATCGATTCATGGGAAGAAAAAATTTCCGGGCACGTATCACCACGGTGACGAGCAGAATTCGCATCGTGAGCTCTTTCGAATCTAGGTGGTTTAATCTATCATTGCGACGGCGAGAGAGAAGCCGAAGTAACTAGCGCGGAATAATTAATAAATGCAAGGTGCATTAGTATGCGTTGCGGGGGATGAGTTCGTGCGCGACCTGAAGTCGGTGGGAGAGGGGTGAAAGGGGGACGGGGAAGAGAAAGATGAGCGCGGGCCCGGGGGCTCCGAGAGACCCGAGAATTATAAAATAATAAAGAGAAAATTACGTAATGTGAGGATCAGATGAGAATTAGAGGACAATGAAGACGGGGTAAACCGCCCGTCGTCTGGAGGGAGGCGAGAAGGGAGGGCTCTCTCTCTCTCTCTCTGCGCTCTCTCGCCAAGGGGTTGGCGAGGGGAGAGGAAAGCCGGAGGTCGAGGACCAGACGTCTTAATGTCTGCATCGTCGCGCGCGCGGGAGCTCGTCCCTCGCGCATGACTATCTCTCTACGACCCTTACATCTTCCCGATAAGAACCTTACGTCCCGAGGATAAATTCGACTCTTTCTGTGTTACGTATGTGTGTGTGTGTGTGTGTGTGTGTGTGTGTGTGTGTGTGTGTGTGTGTGTGTGTGTGAACCATTGATACCTCGAATTCCGACGTGCTGCGGAGTGTCTGGCACAATTCGGTATATCTAATTATTTGCGAACGTCTGAAGAATGAGAATTCAAATTTTTATCGCTCGATTGCGCGCGCTCGTCAGTCACAAACGTCGCGTATGGATTTTTCCGGAGGCAACGTCTTCGTATCGTAAAAGTTAATGTAACGTCTGTCATAACGCGACTACCAACGTGCGAATGAAAACATATTTGCGCGAGGGAAATCTCATTGTTTCCAATCAAACTTTTTAGCGGGAGGGGGAGTGAGACTTCGGAATTTTGGGAACAATGAATTTTGCGCGAACGTCTCGAACTAGATTTGACGTTTTTTTTTTTTTTTTTTTTTTTTTTAATTTTTTGGTTTTTTTTCCATACTTTTTTCACTTGCTGCAACGCTGAACATTACTCACACTGTCGCCGCGGTTTTTCGCAACTCTTTCGCTCTCTCATTACGGGAGTCGGCGGAATGAGTCGCGAGACTTATCGAAATGGAGTACGATGTCGCCGCGGGTGCTAATCGAGGGATTCTAATTAGTAGTCAGCCTGCGCGGTCCCCGACGCGACTTTGTAAATGGTAACAATGTTATGTAATTAGGTAAAAAGTTCTGTAATCAAGAAGTAGATCTTCCGCCGCCATGCCATCGCGCGCGCGCTCGTCTCTGATCCTCCCACCCTCATTCGTATTAAAATAGTCTCGCTAGGAAAGCGTGCGTTGTGCTCTGCATATCTTAAAACCCAGGGGCTGTCGCGGGGACGCTTTAAGAGCGCCACCCTCTCTCTCTCCTCAACGTTCTGATTTTTGCCGCGATTCATATTACCACAGGCGTGGCCCCGAGATTATGAGAGCGGGTAGCGCTTCTCGCGAGAGAGAATCACAGTGTTCTTCCCCCGTCTTCTCGATTATATCGCGGAGAACACACGTACTGTAAATCTACAATTTCGCCGGCAAACATACCCGACGTTAATTATATGCAAATCCTCGCGAAACACGGTAGTGTGTGATATATAACGAAATTATTCGGTTCTCAAGAATTGAGTTGTTATAAAAATTTGATGCGAACTCTGTAACTTTGGCAACTTTGTTATAATATGCGTTTTTATCACGTTATCATCTTTTCCGGTCATATATTAGATTCTTGGCGAAATTATTTTCGTCTTTGAAAGCCCGAGTTTTGTACGCGGATGAGATCGCGGGCTTGAAAGAAATCGATACAGAAGGCGACGGTTACACCGCGTATCGCTTCCCGCGATGCTGACAAATGCATACGTGATTGTAACAAGCAATCGTGTATTACACACCGTTACTGTCACGTAATATGTATATATATATATATATATATGTATACATATATATATAATATATATGCGATAGCTTTCAATTTGTGTGTGCGCGATCACACACACACACACACACATCGCGCGTAAAAGGAGCTACGCCGCGGTTAGGTAAGCAATACGCGCGTGTGTATGCACGCATGAGATCATCGGTCGCCGCGTACGCTCGCGGAAACGCTGACGTCAGTGGTTTCGGTTGCTTTTGTTACTCGGCAAACGATCGGGGCGACGACGGTATCAGGGGAAGACGAGCGCGAACGATTGTGCACGTGACAATCTACACATACGTTTTTGTTTTTTTTAATCAAACAAAGTGTGTGTGTCACCTCCGCAAAGTAAATACAACTATTGACGCGAATTCTCGTAATAAAACCTCTTTTTTTTTTAATCTGAAATATAATGTAATAAAAATATCATAATGATATGAAACATAGTTTCTCTCTCCTGCAGTTTATATATAAATTGTATCTTTTATTTAATTGATTTTTTTTTTTTTATCATCGCGCTGAATATTTTATATTCGCACTGCCGCGTGCGATATGTCAGGGAATTACATTAGATCCGACGCTCACATTGATTCGAGAAACCTATTTTCGAAAGCAACAAGCAACCTCGATGCATCATGTATGCGCGTTAACCTTCCTTCGTCGACTGCGCAGTAAAAGAATCTTCCTTACGTAACAACATTGACGTATATATTTCTTTTGTGTAAATGCGAATTGCAAGTATCGAACACGAAAAAAATACGCGTTGCGCGACCCGTAAAGCTTATACGAGTCCGCGGCACGAAAATATATTAGAAAATATAAATAGGTATTGTAATGCGTGTCTTTTTATCTCGCGCACAATGTGTGTGTGTGTGTGTGACTTCGCATAATGCAAACGTGTGCCGAAAAAAAAAAGAAGTTGAATGTCGGATGATTCAGACACAAAGAACCGGCCAGATTCGACGAGGCGTTTCGCTCATTAAGGTCCTCCAACGGATAAGTAACGAGTGCGTCGCGAAGGGGATGCCGGAACTCGACACGGCGGAATTAAATAAAAATAAAACGCGGGATAATAACGTTAGCGAAGGAGCCGAGAGCCCAAGACAAATAGCCGAGGGAAAACAAAGCGTATTATAAATACCGGGTGACAGGACGAGTGGTGCGGGAGAGTGAGCGCGCGAGCGTAAGAGGGTGGTCGGGGCCACGGTCGGGCCGAAGAGACGGGGAGGGAGTTTTCGAGGAAGGGAGTGACGATATAGTAGCCGACGACGACTCCTGGGAGAAAACGCTCGAGAAAGCAAGACCCCCGCCAGCATTTTTGCTACCTGCCGACACAATGAGCCGCCGGATTTCTTTTCCCCGCGTGTCCGCCCTTCCTTTCTCACCCTCCCCGACCCAAGTACTCTCTCTCTTACCTACCGGAATTATAAATTTGGCGCATCCATCCCCCTTTTGCTCGCGAGCCGAGAATTATGGTCAATGATCTCGGAATCGCATTACGAGAAAGAAGCGTGCAAACAATTGACACGAGAAAAATGAAGTCACGATCACGCTTTCTATGAGCATAATGTTTTAGAAAATATATAAAATATTTTTTTTTTAATCAATTTTATATGAAAAGTTTATGTAAAATAGATAAACAATTGTGGAAAGAAGTAAAGGACTTACACTAGGACGACCGTGGCCGCGCGGATTCAGCTGCCAGGGAACTGTTGATGGCTGAAAATGATCCTTTCCCCACGAGCCGTTGTCGAATGGATTTTCACCGATGTGTCCCTAAAACGCAAATTGGTATCACATTAAATAACATTGCTTGTCACAATTAACAAAAATGTGTTGCAAAAAGGCTAACACTTGAGCAATTGTTTTAGCATATACATCCCTGAAAAATTCTTTCGTCCAAAAACAAAAAAACAAAAAAAACAATAAAAATTGCACAAATCTTGCGCAACTTTTTTGGACGAGAGGAAGGTGCGCGAGGTTATTTGCATGATTGCGCGAATCGCAATGAGACGCGCGGGTTTTTATTCTCGCGTCTCGATAAACAAGAAAAGTTACACGGCGGGGTCAGGTCGAGGGGCATCGATCTTCGAGACTCCCCGAGTTTCAAAGTTTTTTCGGCGCTTTTCCGCACGCCGCGTCTCTCGCCGGCGAGCTTATTTTTGTAATATATTCCGCGAGCCGCTCTTTCTCGACTTTGCACCCCGTAAGCCTTATTTTTCTTTTAACTTTATTTCTAACCTAGAATCTTCCGACGGCAAGGTGGCACACACATAAATCACCGAGTATAATGAGAATACTTCGTCTTTCGGGTGCCTCGCCCCCTCTCGGTCGCAGACACATCTCTTTACACACAGAGACTCCCCGTGCTATTATATTATTCGTTGCCTCGCCTCTCGTGGAGAAATCGCGCGGTCAACCGCCGTCATATTAATATTCATTTTTTTTCCCTTCTGACGTGAGGGACAGAACTGACATTTCGCGCGACGTCCGGAAAAACAAAGAGCGCGCTCGTCGATTTAAAAAAAAAAAAAAAAAAAAAAAAAAAGACCTCAAAGGTCCGTAACGGGGAAGAGCACGTAATTTAAATATGATATTTCACTAAACGTCACACAATGGAGTATTTTATGTGCTATTGATATCGGCGATATATTTTATGTTCCGTATTTCATGATGTAAAGTTTTATTTACATTGCCGTTATTTTAAATCGCGTTTTTCCCGTAAAAAACGAGACATCGTGTATTGCTAGATTTATTAAAACGTGTGTATGCGCGAACGTGTGTGTATGTGTGTGTATGTGTGTGTGGCACGCTTTGCCAGTCGTTTTCAACTCTATTTGATCAATGATGTAGACAACTTTTCGACGCTTGCAAATGTAGTTACGGTCAATTGCGCAAACAATCGTATAAACAGAATATTTATTGCGTCGTATAAACAGAATATTTATTGCAAATGTGTGTCGTAAACACAATTTTTCCGAGTTTTTGAGAAATTTGAGAAATGTGTAACTTGAAAAATCGCGTGGGAAAAAGAATATAACAAACAAATCCCGTTTTACACACACACGCACACACACACACACACGCGCGCGCGCGCGCGCGTTAAATAATGCCTAGAGTTACTCAAACTTCGAAATCGTAAATTGTGAAACGACTTCTCGAAGACTGTGATCGATTATTGCGCGAAGTCGCCGCAAACAGTGCTTTTTCGTTTTTTTTTAATTGCAAAACGTAACTCGTTCGTTTCCATGAGCGACGCGCGTTAGGGTGGCAAGGTAATATGTAACGATTGTGTCGCGTTCGCGCGATCGATGAAACTTGCTTGCCAATGGTCTGTTTCTCTCTTTCTCTTTCTCCGCCTTGGGAGTCCCACTTCTTTTTCTCACCCTTTCTCTAAAAAGGGAGCGTGTGTGTATTCGCCGCGCACACGAGGCAGAAATAAACAGGCGCGATGGAGAAAATAGTTGTGTGCGCGAACCGGACAACGTATATATAAATACGTGGAGAGGCTTATTGAGGCACATTGTGCGCCGCATTTGCATGAGCTGTGGCCGCGTTCTAAACGTGCAGCTGGACATATACACGCGACAAAAGAAAACGCGCAAACAAAACACGCAATGCACACCACCACCACCACGCTTGTTCTTCTGCCTCGTCCGTCGTTGTACGGCTACACGGATCGCGTAGAATTGTTATATGTTTAAGTACCGTGTCACACGTAGGGAAATAAACAAACGGATCTTTTACCGCCGCAAACCGAAGATCCGACGTCCCTCTTTCGATACGTTTCATTGTCAAATCGCGTCACGTGCCGCTGCGAACGACGGAAGACGTGGTGGCGGCAAGGCAGAATTGACGGCGATTTTAATTAAGTTCTCTGTCTCCAGGCGAAATCAGTTGTAATGTCTTTTATATTTATATATGTATACATATATATATATATATATATATATATATATAT